GCAATCCAAGCAGCCCATGAAGGAAAAATGTGTTGTTGGTGGGGTGTCTGGGTGGCTCAGAAGGTTAAGCGTCTGACTCTTGATTTCAGCTCAGGTCATGATCTCAAGGTTCTGAGATTGAGCCCCATGTCGGGCTCACACTGGGCATGAAACCTGCTTAAGATTCTCTCTCTCTCTCTCTCCCTCTGTCCCTCCCCCACTCTCTTAAAAAAAAAGGGGGTTGTTGGCATTTGGAGTTCCCCAGTAAAATTATCCTATAGTGAAGCTTGAGTCAACTACTGACAACCTCCATTTTTACTTCACCCCCTACCTTAAATATGAGAAGATAAACAAGGATTGCCCAGTGCCTAAGGAGTCTCACCACAGTTTTACAGTGGAGTGTAAAGAAGGAATGCAACTAGATATTTGTATTCTATCAGCCATCTTTACCAAGAGTCTGTCTGTATGTTGTTTGCTTACCTCCCATACCTTTTGCCACCTGCCCTCTTCCTTCCTAAAAAGTAGTGGTGTTCCAAGAGGCCTCTGATTTTGTTGCTTTGCTCTTGTCTATCTAAAACTCACTTCTGAATCATCTTAGAACTTGACCTCTCAGTAGGGGTAGTCTCATTGCCTTTCTCTGCATTTCAGAACCATGGTCAGGGATAAAAATACACTCTGGTGTGAAATGGGCTCCATCACACTATCATAGTATCTATGGCTGCTTTTGCACTACAACAGCAGAGTTGAATAGCTGTGGCTGAGACTGTATGGCCAGCAATGTCTAAAATATTCACTATTAGGCCCTCTGCAAGAAGAGTTTGCAGAGCCCTGATACAGATGGTCCCATTTAGTCCTAACAGCCCTTGAGGTTGACATCTGTCATCCTTGTTTTATCACGAAGGAAGCTGAGGTTGAGAGAAAGCACGTAACTTGCTCAGAGTCATAGACATATCGGTAACATCATCCAAGTGTCTGTTGACAATAGCATATGGTCTCCCATCACAGTCATTTCCCCACCTCCCAGGACCCTCAATGAGGAGACACCATAGGTCAAAGAAATCCAAAGTATTGAAGTGTCAAGCCAGCTAAGACATCATAAGTACTTTTCCTGGAGCTAACGGCCATTCTATGTGTCTCTGTCTCTTTACTTTTTCAGAAGTGACTCTGTTCACTGGTGCAAGAGCACCAACCTCACCGTAGGATCCCAACCAACCCTCCAGCTCTCCCGCAAACCTCCTACATCTCTGCCACCCTTTCCCCAAGCAAACAGCCTGACCTTTCCGAGATAAACTCATTCTACAGTTGAATAGGGAATATCAGTGAGTTCCAACACAGCCATCACAGAGGGTGCTCCTGTCCCACTCTTCCAGAGCTCTGCCAGCCCTCAAGGCCGGAGGAAAAGCCCTCCCCTGCTCCCAGCTCAAATGAGCACAGAGGTGAGAATAAACCAAATCCAACGCTTCTGAGGGAGAGGCTGCCCCAGGCTATGGAGCCCAGTCCTATCAGGTGAATTCATCCCAGGCTGCAGTGCTGAGCTACAGAGCAGTCTCCTCAGAGAAGACCTATTCCACAACTAGAGCTCTTTGAGGGCGGAGGCTGTCTTATTGACCACAGGGCCTTACTTAGGGCAGGGCTTGGCACTTGTAAGCAACAAATGAGAGCTGTAATCATTATGCGTGCATATGAGTTTGCTAAATAAATGAATCAATGAATGATGGTCTCACAACAAATCTCTTAGCACCGGGTAGTTAACCACATCTACAAACTTATAATCTACAAAGTATTTTTCACATCTTCTACCCCAGTGCACACTTCCAGGAATGTTTAGGGAAATACAGAGAGCTCTCAAACCTCGATTTCAGAGAGGAAAGGCCATTAAAAGGTTAAGTAACTCAACCAACATCACACAACCAGAGAGGGACAGAGGGGAGATGTGAACCCAGGGCTGATTCAACAGCCTGTGTTTCTTCCAGCAAAACCCTGCTTCTCTCTGCCAGAACACAGATGGCCTCCTCACTATGTACATGTCTTTTTTTGCTATCTTTCTCTATCTCTTCCCTTCTCTCTAAGGTCCCCTTTTTCCTCCCTCTTCCTTGTCTCAGGTCCCATAAAAGGATTCCTTGACTGTACTAATGATTAAATATTGTTGCTTTAAAAAAAAAAAAGTGTGCTTGCGTTTCTACCCAGGGTTTCTCTGCAAAATTTTAATCTAATAACAGTAGGTAAAGAAAACATACAAGGCCACTTGCATTTAAGAACTCCACACGTAATTCTATTTTCTTTACTGAACCACGGTGATTAAATTTTAAATATATTGAGCACGCCTGATTGCTTTTTATGCAAATGTCCTTCAACCTGACCACATTCAAAGTTCACAAGATTTACCTCCCCTAGTAAAAGAGCAAGCTCCATTTACACTGGAAAGCCTTTTTAAAACAATCACATAAATCAAGTAGCGAAACTCAAAAATATGTTCAGCAGACACATGTGCCCTGGGGCAAGTTCCAAGTACCAGTTATAAGCTCAGCAATCCTGAGAGCCTGCCGGCCACTCTGGGTCAAGTTCACCCAAGACCTGATGCCTATCAGATGTCCTGAGGAATTCATGTCAAGGCCAGGCCAAACAAGCCTTTCCTCCCTTCCAGAGTGCCTCATCAGATTCAGATTCTCTCCTGCTGCAGATTGGACATGAATAGGCATAGAGGCCAGCATAGTGGATGTACTGATGCTGGGGTAGGAAATGAAGTTCAAGTGTATGGCAGCAAGGATATTATATGGCTGCCCCTGCCTAGGAACATCCATCCATTCAGCCATCCACCTCTACAGCTCTGCTCTACAACTGGTCCAGGTAGGGACCATCTCCCTTGAATGCCTCATACAGTGCCACCTCAGGCTCATCATTCTCCAGCAGATGCAGATGGTGTGGGATGAGGTACTGAGCAATGAATCCCAGCAAGCATTTCAACAGCTGCTCCTGCACCTCAGAAACGACATGGTTCAGAAGAGGGAATGAACAAGGACTTTCTGTGGTTCTCTTGGAGGCCTGTGGCTATGAAGACATTATGGGAAACTTGCTGGCCACACATCATGGGGGAAAGTGAAAGTGTGAGGATATTCTTCAATTCTCGTGCTTTACTTCATTGTACCTGGGCACAAAGCCTGGGTCCCACTGCTCCTCATCTTCAGGAACCTCTGGATGACAATGTTGGCTTCGTCAGACAAGTGAATGGGGTCAGTATCAGCCTGCCTCAGCCAATCCAGCCTGAGGCAAGGATTTAGTATATGAAGATGTACTCAACACACAGCGTCATCACTGTAAAGTCAAACTTGCTGATAGAATAAAAACGGCCCCTCAGCACCCCTGTAGGTGCCTATTTCCTGGAAAACTTTGATGGTGATTGTATACTTCACGGGAAAAGGCTCAGACTCTGAGAGTCTGCCCCACCTGGCATTTTTCTCTGATGCTTTTCTCCCACTCCTCTTCCTCCTCCTTCCCCCCCCTCGTTCAGGAATGCCTGCAGCAATCCCAGCCAAGTGGTGAAGTGTTCTGAGAGTGCCTTTGGAAGTCCATGACTTTGCCTACACTATCTAGAAGCTTGGTAACTGGTTCCACTGCATAGGACCATATAATAGCTGAAGCCATCTCCCACATCTTAGAGGTCAAGAACAAGACCTCGGGAAAGCTGTCAGAAATCCTTGCCAGCTGCTCATTGATGGAAAAATGAAACCCCGCAGGAGCTCCTCTGGTAAACCCCAGACTGCTATTCTCTGGAAGAGATTCTCAGTCATGTCAACAGCCTCTACAAAATCAATCAGATCTTAACAAAGTTCCACCTTACCTTCTGCACTCTGGTGAAAACAGCACACAAAGAGGGGGAGACTTCCTTTGGGAGAGATACCAGTGCTATCTATGATTACACTAAAAAATGTATCTGCTTTTACCCGTTCCTGGAGCTTGTTCTGGATTGAGGGGCCCATTAGCTTGACCAGTTCATTTTACAAGTGTTCAGCTGTTTCCAGAGTACATAGCTAACATTTTCTTTTAACAGTGGGTCCAGTTCTGTAATATAATGTGAGAATGTATATATAATCTTAGTGTTAGTGAGCTTTCCATGCAAAGGAATATTCTGTCTTCCACGGAGAATAAGGAGTTTAATTATTTATTTTAGGGCACGATGATTTCTTTCTGTCAACTCCTTATACTTAAAGGCAACAGAAGCCTTCACATTTGCTGTGGCCTTACCACGTTCCTTAGATCTGCTATATTTCCCAAGTATTTTCTTGACACTGGACCAATCTTTTGAAAGCACAGAACCCAACACTACCTCTTTAGTTGCTAAACACAAAAAACAGACCACAAAATACCCCATCCAGGCATTTGGAGTACTGGACAAACTTGTACTGCTGAAGAGCTGGGTGCTACATCCCAGTAGTCCTGACCCATGTCAGAGTCCATCACCTCTTTGGGAACTGGTAGCTGGAAGTGAGGCAACTAATGGGTTGCTAAAACAACAACAACAACAAAAAACCCTTCATTTGCTCTAAGGTCCCCATGATTTAATAGGCCAATGTCTTCCTCATGGGCATCTTTCTCATCACAGAATACGCCATCACCCGTGGTTTGTGACCTTACCTTCTGCTCTACAACATAAAAGATCTAAAACTTCGCCAATGATAAAACCTTCAGAGTTCTTTCCTTCTATATGTCTCATCAGCATTTCTGTGACCTAAACATTAGCTCTGACTGAGAAAAGTAAAATCTGCATGGCTCTTCCTTCAGGCAGAAAAAAAAAGATACATATAAAGACCATTATAAAGTTAAAAAGAAACATTATGTCTGCCAACCAATACTACATCTGTATAGTGTCATAATAACCTTCTTCTTTGAGCACTACCACTTTCTTACTCATGTAGAAACTTTGTTCTCTAAAATCAAGGACTCTCAGAATGAAAGTTTCTTTTTGTAAGATTTTATTTGAGAGAGAGAGCACGAGGGGGAGGAGGGGCAGAGGGAGAGGGAGAAACAGAATCCCTGCTGAGCAGTGAGCCAGATGATCATGACCTGAGCCAAACAAAGGCAGACGCTTAACCAAATGCGCCACCAGGCGCCCCGAGAATGAAAGTTTCAATTAACCACTCAGATGCAAAGCTTCAGAAAAGGGGTTTCTACACAAAATTCTCAGACACAGGACCATGGGTCCATTTTGCTATCTAGGACTGATGTTGACCCCTTTACACAGTCCTGCTTTGCATCGAGCCTATCAAAACAGTGTTTCATTTAAATTTCATCTAAACTTTACATCTGCCCACAATTCTGTAGCTCAGTCTTTTCCTCCGTTTGGTTAAATGACCCATGGTGTCTCTGGTGTGCAGTCTCCCTTATTACAATGAATCAACGCACCTGATTTTGCAGGACTACAAGTTTATTCCTGATGGCTTTGGGTTGCTTGGGCTGAGACACTGTCTTGCTCGGCTTTGGGGCTCCTAAGATGAAAATTTTGAAAGTAGATGTAACATGCACTTTTTTTTCACTCTAAATATATCGTGCCAGGTAGGCTTATGACTACCATGCCAGTTTGGTCATGACTGGGATGTGTTCACATCTCGGAAAGGTTACAGGAACAAGAAAGAAGTCAGGATTCTAGGTAGCTTTCGGTTCACTTCTTGAACAGGCTTAGATTTCTCTTTTGGGAACTCGACAAACATTTTGTCTGCTAAACTGACGCTTCCATCCCCCGTGACTGAAAGAAACAAAGGAGACACACCTACTCAGCTGAAGCTGACAGGTACTCTGGGATCCAGCTGATTACAGGAGTACAGCTCTGGACACGCTGACACCCGCAGGGACTCTAAGGGGAACTGGGCGTGTTGCTGCCGTCCTCCGCGTCCCCCAGCCGGGACCCGGGACCAGCTCTACCTCTCTGTTCGGTGCTCCCTGGCAGAAAACCAAAGCGGGGCGCCCGTCTTTGCCCCTCACATCCATCTCTGGCCACAAGCAAGCGCAGGGGGGCGCAGCTTCAGACTGACATAGGTTCCAAAATAGCCCACGCGAACGACCCTTGAAGGATCCAAGCCTAAGAACGCCTGCAGCTTGCCACGTTTGTTAACAGGCACGGCCCTCAGCTAGCCCTTCCTCTCGGTGATTGGACGAGCAGAGACGGCGTAGGGCGGGAAGCGTGGCTCCGCAGGGAGGAGCCGGATAAACTACTGGGCGTGTCTATGACGCCATATTGGGTCCTGGCGTGGTCCTGAAGTTGCCCTTCCTCCCGGTGATTGGACGAGCCCGTTGGGGGTCCTGGAAGGGGCGTACCCAGCCAACTTGAGCTGTGCGCTTGGGCTGGTCGTCTGGTTTCTGAGGTCTGTAGCTGTTGATTTTCTTGCTCATTCCTGGACGCCCGCCACCTCGCGAGATACATAAGTCTTAGTTGGACTTACCTACCCATTCTAATGGAGCTTCGAAGAAATCTGAAAACCTCCTTGGAGTTGCTTGGGGAGGGGTCTTTAGATGCTTCTTCATGGACGTGGTGTCATTCTTCAGGGAGAGTGGGGATCATATCCTTGGAAGAGGGGACACAACTGCATGAGTAGCCGCGAGACTTATAGCTACAACGGGATTAGGAGTGAGGGATGCAGAATTGCTGGGGGGAAAACCTAGGAAGGTGTTGGGGTGAGATTTTGGGGGTCCTTGAATGCCAGGTTAGGGAGTTTGGACTTTATCCCGTAGAATAGGGGATAAAAATGAACATTTGGAGAACTTTAAACAGGGGTGACATGATCAGATAGTGAAATTTATTTTTATTTTTATTTTTTTTATTTTTTTAAGATTTTATTTGACAGAGAGAGACACAGTGAGAGAGGGAACACAAGCAGGGGGAGTGGGAGAGGGAGAAGCAGGCCTCCCACCAAGCAGGGAGCCCAATGCGGGACTCAATCCCAGGACCCTGGGACCATGACCTGAGCCGAAGGCAGATGCTCAACGACTGAGCCACCCAGGCGCCCCCAGATAGTGAAATTTAGAAAAATAATTCTGTAACTGGAGAATCCCAAGGTATTTCTTCAAGTGTGTTTCAGTGAACCAGTTGGGGAGCTTGTTTTTAAATGCAGATTCTTGCCCCTCCCTAGACCTGCAAATCAGATTATGCGCAAATCTGAGAGTAAAGATTTGAATTGTCACAAGCTGACCATTAAGAGACATCACCAACAGCTCAGAAGCCTCTTACTCCCCAGCCACTGCTGCCTGCACCAAGGTTAAACATGATCATTACTTCTAACAATCATAGATTGCTTGTTTTGAATTTTATATAAATTAAATCATATAGCATATACTCTTTGTATCTGGCTTATTTTGGTGTTATGTGTAAATTCATCAGTATCGTTCCTTATAGTTGCTGTTGACTCCATTCCTAACAACTTTTATCCATTCTCTTACTTATGGCCTTTGAGTAGTTTCTAGTTTGGGGCTTATTAGCAGAAAAAAAGTGCTGCTATGAACTTTCTTATTCATGCCTTTTGCTTTGAATTATAAAGCAAGAGGGTGCCTGGGTGGCTCAGTCGTTAAGCATCTGCCTTCGGCTCAGGTCATGATCCCAGGGTCCTGGGATCGAGCCCTACATCGAGCCCCACATCGGGCTCCCTGCTCAGCGGGAAGCCTGCTTGTCTCTCTCCCTCTCCCCCTGCTTGTGTTCCCTCTCTCGCTGTGTCTCTGTCAAAAAAAATAAATAAAACCTTAAAAAAAAAAAAAGGAAATTATAAAGCAAGATCCCAAGGTCTAAATACTAATTCATTCACTACCTGTTTATTGAGGCTACTGTACAAAGAAAAAAATGGCCAAAGTCCTGCCCTCATGGAACTGATTCCAACTGGTACAAAACTATTACCTGTGGACAGAAAAATAAGTCAAACAATTGCAATTGTGATAATAGCTCTGAGGAAATAAAGAAATTGAGCTAAGACAGGAGGAAGGGGACTAACCTATTTTTTTATGTGATAGGTTAAGTCTCTTAGAAGAGATATCTGGGAAAAAATACAAGAGATGGTTGGCACTGCCATGCATTGAGTATGAACAGAGGTGAGAGCATTCTTGGCAGGACGAGTCACCATGTGAAAAACTCACAGACAAGGAGAGAACTTGGCCTGTTCAAGACCAGTGTAGCTGAGGCACAATAAGGATGGGAAAGGAGGGATGACACAGGTGTGTTTGAATATAGGAGCATATGATGCAGGGCTTTATAGGCTAGAGTAAGAAGTTTAGATTTTATTTTTTTGATTTTATTTTTTTAAAGATTTTATTTATTTGAGAGAGAGAGAGCACAAGCGGGAGGTGGGGCAGAGGGAGAAACAGACTCCCCTGCCTAGCAGGGAGCCCAATGTGGGGCTCTATCCCACGACCGCAGGATCATGACCTGAGCACCCCTAGATTTTATTTGAAAATACTGTAGAAAACCACTGAAGTGTTTTAACAATAAAGTGATGTTATCTGATTTATTTTTTTTTTAAGATCCCTATGTCTGATGAGCAGAGAATAGATTAAGGGAAGCAGTGGAGAAAGCAGGTCATTTAGGAGGCTGGTAGAATAGTCCTGGAAAATACTAGCATAGAGTTTAGAAGAAAGGACTGAAAGACATTTGGGAATTGCCAGTACAACAATCTCCTTAATCCAGCGATGAAAGGTAACACTGTATATTTAGGCAGAGATATCCTATGCGTGTATTCTTATGTTTTGCATCAAGGGCACAGCATTTCTACCAAAAATGCATAATCTGAATCTGATCATGGGGCAAACTACAAGGTCATATTGAAAGACAGTCTATAGGGGCGCCTGGTGGCTCAGTCGTTAAGCGTCTGCCTTTAGCTTGGGTTGTGATCCCAGGGTCCTGGGATCGAGCCCCACGTCGGGCTTCCTGCTCAGGGGGGGGCCTGCTTCTCCCTCTCCCACTGCCCCTGCTTGTGTTCCTGCTCTCGCTGTCTCTCTCTGTCAAATAAATAAATTTAAAAATCTTTAAAAAAAAAAAAGTCTGTAAACCAATTTGCCTGTATTTTAAAATGTCAGTATTATGAAAGACAAAGATGTAGAAACTATTATAGATATTAAGACTAGACATGACAGCTTCCAACTTGTAACCCTCCATTAGATCATGAAGCAGGAAACAAAATTTTCCTTTATTTGCACTAAAGGACATAAGTGGGACAACTGATAACATGTGAATAAAACTACAGAATAAATGATAGATTATGTTAGTATAATTTTCCTGATTTTGATCATTGTACTGATTATGTAAGATAATGTCCTCATTTTTTAGGAAATGGCTGTTAAGAGACAAAGGAACATTTTGTCTAACATCCTCTCAAATGATTCAGAAAAAAAATGATAGAACAGGGGCACCTGGGTGGCTCAGTTAGTTAAGCGACTGCCTTCTGCTCAGGTCCTGATCCGGGAGTCCCAGGATGGAGTCCTGCATAGGGCTCCCTGGTCAGCAGGGAGTCTGCTTCTCCCTCTGATCCTCCTCCCTCTCATGCTATCACTCTCTCTCAATAAATAAATAAAAATCTTTTAAAAAAATGATAAGAACAATAAAGCAAACATAAAATGTTAACATTTGGGGAGAAGTGCCTGGGTGGTTTAGTCCTTAAGCATCAGACTCTTGATTTCTGCTCAGTTCATGATTTCAGGGCTGTGAGATCAAGCCCCACGTCGGGCTCTGCATTGGGTGTGGAGCCTGCTTAGGATTCTCTTTCTCCCTCTGCGTCTGTCTCTCTCTTTCAATAAATAAATTCCCTCTGCGTCTCTCTCTCTCTCTCAATAAATACATACATACACACATACATAAGTATGTATATATTTGGGGAATCTAAGAAGCATTTATGGGAATTATTTGTACTAGTTTTGCAACTTTTCTTTTAAGTCTTAACTACTTTAAAATAAAATGTTAACAGAATTGCTGGGATCACTTAGAGAAAAAAATCTAGTACTAAGCCATGAGTAACAACATTTAGACCAAAATCTGAAATACTTATGAGTAACAGAAGGAAAAACGGAAGAACGTTAAAAGAAGTAAAATGAAATGTGGACACAGTTATAATGAAAGGCATAGCTTCTGTGCTCTTCCTCACCCGAAAATCCTAAGAGATGACCTGCCTCCCGCGAGACAAGACGTATCACCAACGCTAGCTAATCTCACTGCTTGTTGCTGTGAAAAGGTAGCAAACCTCCGACAGGCTTCCGCCATGTTTTCCCAGTGAGCATGCGTGCACGTACGCACGTACTACCCCAACCAATCGGTGCTCACGTCGACGACTCGTTAATCTCAGGGGCGGGGCGGCCTTCTACACTTGCGCACGGCCCGGCGGGCTTTCTTTCTTCTCGCCGAGCGCCGCCAACATGGTGAGTATTGCGGTTTGGGGCTCCTGGTCTGGCGGCCATGGCGTTCCACTTCCGCCTGGTAGGGGAAACGAAAGCTTGGGACGACCCCCATCGGATCTTAGGTAGCGTGCGGTGAGGGTCCCTGGGCGGGGGGATCACGGAGTTTAGGAGCTTCCCGGGCGCGCGGCCAACGAGCGCGTGGAGGGCTGTGCAGGCCCGGCACGCCGTGCGCCTCGGCGTGCGCGCCGTGGCCGCCAGAGCTAGAAAGCTGGAGCGGCCCGGGGCGTACCGGGGCCCAGCCGGACTGGGGCTTTGAAGGCTCCATACGCCTGGAGGCCAGCGGGAACCCGGCTTTTGCCGCTGCCGGCTCTGCGTATTTCGTCCATCCATCAGGTCGTCCCATGGCACTTGGGCGTGTTCCCCCAGCGTTCTTTTCGCTATACTTAGTTACACTGCCTTTGAACAGCAAAACCTTATAAACAAATGAGTATTTTTAGTAAGTCTCATTCTCTCCCTTCCCCTCGATTTTAGGTGTTCAGGCGTTTCGTGGAGGTTGGCCGGGTGGCCTACGTCTCCTTTGGGCCTCATGCTGGGAAGCTGGTCGCAATTGTAGATGTTATTGATCAGAACAGGGTAAGTGTAAGGAAAAGTGTCAGTTTCACATGTTATGACTGATACGCAGTATAGATGGTAATTTTCCCAAAGGCCCTCTAAGGTAGGAATATTGCGGGTGGTGGGTTTATTTTACCATTGAGGAGACAGGCAGTGCGAAATGGGGATTTCAAGCACAGACTTGAGTTGGCCAGTATTACTGAGTTTGAGTATTACCTCTGCCACTTAAGGCATGCCTTTTAACAAATTATGGGTTGAAACATTGGTGAGGTTTAAATGAGTTCGTCTGTGTAAAGCGAATTTAGAACAAAGCCAGGCACATAGCCTTCTATGCCCTTGTATGCTACTGTTGGTATTTGAGGACCACAAACTAAGGGATTGACCAAAGATTGTGAATGAACATAACATTGATTGTTGGAAACATAAGGATTAAAGACTTAAAAATTTTTGTCCAGTAAGTTACATGGAGTTAGGTTATAGGCTACACTACCAATAGTAGTTTTATCTTTCTTAAAAGCATTTAAGTAGTAGAGATTTGGTGATTCTGAAAAGACCTATATATAGACGATCCGCTTGGGTTGCTATTATGTTCTGCACTGAGATTTTTTTATCTTACTTGTTCTAGGCTTTGGTTGATGGACCTTGCACTCAGGTAAGGAGACAGGCTATGCCTTTCAAGTGCATGCAGCTCACTGACTTCATCCTCAAATTCCCTCACAGGTAACTATCCACCACCCAATACCCCTCCCTTAGCTTTGCTTATATACTGGTAAAAGTTTGCTTGGATTAATTCAAAAAAGTTTTGCTATCTTGTTTGTTTCTTGAGAATGTAGTATACAGTGTTGAAGAGTAAGCAATTCAGAAGAGGGATTTTCAGAATAGAAGTAGGTGGCCATTGTTTACTTTTTAAATGTCCTGTGATTATCTTTCCACTCTGCCAGTTCTCTGGCTTTGTCTTTATCCAGATTTGCCATCCTTTTTCTTGTCCCCTGTCAGGATTTTCACAACAAAGACCTTCCTAAGGAATTCTGGTCTCCCAAACATGTTTTAGTCACCTTTAGCTTCAAAACAAAAATACTAATTCTTTTCTCTCACAATACTAGTTGTCATTAGTTGAGCTTTTAGTGTTTGTCAGTTATTAAGTATTTGACGTATGTCATCTTGTTTTGATAGCTACTAAGGAGGTTCTATTCCCGACTCTTTATAGGGAATTGAGGGAATCAGTAGTGATTCTTTTTTGATGTGAGGTAGATTATGGAAGTTAAAACACTGTGGTGGTTACTCTCGGTACCGTCGCAGACAGCCGCAGTGGAACATGTGTTGTAACATGTCCTGCTGGTTTATTTCTTAAGCATGCAGGGTTTTGATACTTGAAATATTTGAAAGAAACTTCAAAATGGTTATAATTAGATTTTGTGGTGTTTGGCCACATCTCTTTAAGCATTATTGTACAGAAGGCCTGAGGATTAGCTTTACCTCATTCTTTATGAAAAGGAAATTGCTTTGTATACATCCACTACAGTAGAGTGATGTTATATGCAAGATCAGAGGTAATTTTTAAACACAGAAAATGAGCTGGTTTGCATTTTTTATTAAAATGATGTGTTTGAGGGGCTCCTGGCTGACTTAGTCTGTAGAGCATGTGACTCTTAATCTTGGGATTGTGAGTTTAAGCCCCATGTTGGACCTAGAGCTTACTTTAAAAATAAATAAAATCTTATGTTTGGGACTGTAAGACATCCTGTTTTAGTGAACAACATTCAAGTAAGACATAGTGTGCCAAGTGGTATGTGGCATATGGTGTCACCTAGGGCTGGAGGTATAATGAATGAGAAAGGTACTTTTGACATCATTTTGCTTATGCTTTTTAACTTAAGGGAGTATAAATTGTGCTTTCAGAGGGCTCAAAGCTGATTTCTTAATCCGATTTTGGCTCTTTCCTAGTGCCCGCCAGAAGTATGTCCGACAAGCCTGGCAGAAGGCAGATATCAATACAAAATGGGCAGCCACAAGATGGGCCAAGAAGATTGAAGCCAGAGAAAGGGTAATGGCTTAGGGTCATTTGAATTGTGACCTTTTCTTTGGAGGGGTGATAGGTGGCATGAGCGATTATTTATTTATTTTTAACAGAAAGCCAAGATGACAGATTTTGATCGTTATAAAGTCATGAAGGCAAAGAAAATGGTAAGTTTTTAAATTAATACAGGATTTTTATATTCTAACCCTAAACTTCTCTGGTAATTCTGCTTGCCCAAGCTTGGTAGATCAAAGTTGAATTCATAGGGGTTTTAAACATAAGGTTTGTTTTCTTGCATATGTATTCTCTACATATAGGATGAACAACAAAAGAGTTTTTTGTGTGCATACATGATAAATAACTTACATTGAAATTTTTCAGAGGAACAGAATAATCAAGCTTGAAGTTAGGAAGCTACAAAAAGCAGCTCTCATGAAAGCGTCTCCTAAAAAAGCACCTGCTGCTAAGGGTGCGGCTGCAGCAGCTGCTGCAAAGGTTCCAGCCAAAAAGATGGCCGCTGTGGGCAAGAAGGCTCCAGCCCAGAAGGTTCCTGCCCCGAAAGCTGCAGGCCAGAAGGCAGGACCTCCAAAGGCTCAGAAGGGTCAGAAAGCTCCAGCTCAGAAAGCACCTGCTCCAAAGGCATCTGGCAAGAAAGCATAAAGAGCATAAGAGGCTATTAAAAACAAGTAATAAAGGTTCTTTTTGACACGCTGGCAAGTGTACTTGATCTGTGGCATAAAGTCTATTGCTAGGGTCAGGACTGTGGAGCAGATTGGTAGGATTGTTGATGTTACCGTTAAGAGTATTGTTTTTTTAGCCCCGGTCTGTCCAGTATAAAGCCATCACAAAGTCATAACTAGCGTGCTCATAGGAAATGGATCGTTTATAGCACTGGGTGAGTTTTTCCCCTTGTACAAATATATTTCCTATAAAGTCCCAGCAGATTTTGATGCTTGAGAGGTTAGTAAATTTTCTTTAAAAAAATAAAGTGTAGGAAACCAAGACAAGTAAACTAAATAACGTTATGGTACGATAAAGTTTTTCTGTTCTTATTTCCTTTTATTTCTAACCAAAAGCTGGCTTCTGAGCCTCACTGGGATTCATGGGGACAAAACTCATTTTGCTTGGTGATACTAATAGGCAAGTGATGTGGTGTAGATAGGGGTAATGCAGGCAGTTTGGGGTTACCCAGCCTTTCCTGAAGGGTGGGGAGTTGTCTAGGTAAATGGGGATTTTAAGCTACAAGAAGGTTGGTATGTAGGTTGGGAATGTGGTGGGCTGGCTAGAGAGACGCCAGAACAAGGTGTCAGGTTAGTGTTAGATATAGGAGTGTAACGAGCCATTGAGCATTTCCAAATGGTGATCCCTCAGATTTCGGTCATGCTGTTGGGACTGAATCTTAAGGGAAGGGTGCTGGGAAGGTCAAAGGTGGTACCAGGTTTGGCAGTATTCCTCACCTTGACGGTGGTCCAAACCAAGAGGCAGTAGTGCCACCATTTAGTAGGCCTTCATGGTTTGGGCTAGAAGGAAAGTAAGAAAGCCAAATGTGCTAACAGTTTCTGGTTTGTACTTTTGGCTCATTGTGGGAGAAGAGAGCTGGAGCAAGGTTACTCCGGGGATATGAGTTTTAAGGCACCACACAGACTTCCCAGTCTGGTAGATAATGGGTGCTGACAATCTGCGTTCAGGTCCTGGCTCAGCTGCTGAAAAGCTGTGTGGTTTAAGCATGTTCCTATCTTCAAGCCTGGTTGCCTCCTATGTGGTGTACTTTTGTGGAGTAGGGAAGTAAATCATGATTGGACAGCCCAGTGACTGGTTCATAGCAGTATCCGGGATAGTTGTGACAGCTCTTAAAGACAGATTTGGGGTTCATGGGTATGTAAGCAGTCACTCAAGATTGCCCAGGGACAGAGACAAAGATTGGGAAGGAGTGATCAGAGGTGGGAAACCAGGAGGTGGACATGGAAGCCACGGAAAGTATGTTGGTTATTGTCAAGGTGTGAGGGATAGAGGGCAGTGAGGCAAGGAGAAGTGTTACATGGAGTTTGGAGGTTTTAATTTTGTAAAGGAGTGATGGGCATGTTTGGATGCTTCTGGAAAAGCAACTAATTGGAGGAAAGGAATTCCTTTTTTGAGGAAAGAGGACAGAATGGAGCCTAGAGAAAGAGGGATTGATAACGTTTGCATGAGGAGGAAAAAGAAGGGTTTAGAAGCTTAATTTAGAGTTGGGCTGTCAGA